GACAAAATGAGCTTTTAAAATCTATTTAATAACTATAATTATGAGTGAGGACAGAGACCCATAACTGTAAATGGGTTCTCTGTGTTTCTTATTTAAGTACCTGCCAACAACTGAAAGATGGAAAGCCAAAGAGCATTTTGTACCAGCAAGCAGAAATGCAGCAACTTTTCAGGATAAATTCTATCTTCTGTGAGCAGTTTTGTCTAGTAAGAACCAATGAATCTATTAATCTGTTCTGCAAGAGAATGGATAGCAATGACCTGTCAGCTTTATGAGATCCATCAACATCTTTCTGTATCTTTCTGAAGAAGGTCTATATGCCCTCTGCAGGCTCTATATGACAGAGTAGCACCATTAACACTGTCATTGCTGCTGCTGCTACAGAGCTTCCTTTCTCTGGGTTTCTAACACAGTCCTTTCATTAAGTCTCATCACATTGGGTTAAAATTTAGCAGACAGATTCTTTTTCTCTCAGTGAGGGATTTTGAATTTAGTTGGTTTTGGGTTTTTTTTAAGCTATATTTGAAGTGAAACCAGAAAAATAATTCTAATTTGAATTTATATAGTTACAACAAATGAACAATATAGATATATTTGTATTCCTAGCTTTAAAGGGAAAAGCATATAAACCAACAGACAACAGTGGCAGAGCTATTGATATCTTGACACTGATACATTCCTTGTGTTGCATCTCTATTGATTTAAAGAATGAGAAAAGAGAGGTATAAATTTATGGGGACATTTTGGATGAAATTTTGCATTCATTTATTAAGTGAATTTTACAGAGTACTAAACCATTGACCCTATCACTTGGTCTTAGAGATTTATGGCTGAATCTCAAGCCTACTGAAGTCAATAAGGGTCTTTTAATGAAAGACTTCAAATCAGGATCTTGCTGCCTTACTCTTCACTCACATTAAGCAATTTTATAGAAATATTACATCAATGTAAAGCTATGAAGAAAGAAAATGTATTCCCAGTTTTCAGGGGGGAAAAAAAGCACATTTAGGAATTTAAAGTGTACATAGCTGTGTGTATTTTTGTTCCAGTCTTTGCTTTGCTTCTAACACGAAGAGTTCAGAAAGCAGGTAATGAAGGGAGGGTTAAAGGGGACATAGGAGGAGTAATAAAGAAGTTGACTAATTACCCACAAGATTTAACATGGGATAAATGCAAGCTAATATACCTCAGGGAAAAAAATTATCTGCAGTACAAATATTTAGCTAGAAGAGAAAACTTGGATGGTTTTTAAGGTTGAAAAAGGTTTGAGTTACTAGAAGAACCAAAGAAGCTCATCTTAAACAGCAAGTTCTCCTACAATAAGATATATATTTAAAGTTCAATCTTCTTTGAGTACTCATGATCACACAGATACAAAGCTGCTATATAATGTATAAATATCCCACACATATTGGAGTTAAGCAATCTCTATGTAAAGTGCATCTACACTTTTTTCTTCATATTATTAATGAATATATTAGTGAATGTAGTGCATGCTCTTTTTAAATCACAAGACCATCCAAACTGTAGCAATATAACTTTCAAGTACAGACTTTACTTGTAGAAACAAGTCAAGTAGACAAATCTACAGCATATGTCAGTAAAAAGGCAAATGCAACTGTATCTTTTGTGAATTTTTTAAACTCTTGAAATATATTTATTTATAAGCACTGCATTATGAAAAAATTGTCATTGAGTGGTTGACATTTGAGAGACAAGTAATAAGATACCAGTACCGTGGATGGACTGACCTGTGAAGAAAGAACTACGTAGGCATGGTCATGGTATTTTACTCCCAAGCTAATAGGGTTTTCAAGCTGGGGTACTGGTGTGGTTTGAAGATGTAGGTTGAGTGGGAATTAAACCAGAAATTTCTTGTTGCCACTTCTCCAGGAAGAAGGTTAAAAGGCATGAAGTATTATAACCATTAAGTATACTTTTGTATGCTGAGATACAGAAGTATAGAAAAGATGTGTTGATATTCTGCCAATGTCTGAAGAACATTGGTAGAAGAAAAGCACTGAAGATTTATTTTAGGTGGTACTACTCCATTGTTGTGCATGTTCACAAGATAATTCAGGCAAATGTATTAGTATTGTCAGTATTAGGCAATAATCCTGACAATGACCCTCCACAAGAAATTATAAAAAACTTGACAATTTGCCTTTACAACTAAGTCTAAAGTGAGACTTGAACACAATTGTGTGTTGCATGGATAAGATAAACATGACAAACACCACCTTTCCCATTGCATATCTCAGTCAAGAGTATGGGAGCACCGAGTTTCCTATCCTCATATCAGATTTGTTCAATAATAGGCTTTATAAATTGTACTAGCCACAAAAAAAGGAATTTTGATATGGGTTTGATGCACATATTTGCCTACACTGAGACACCAAGTTTTATGAAGTCTGAGTGTAAATTGCCAGGATTTCTGGGTGTTCTGAGGGGTTGAAGTAAGTCAAGTCATGCTGCCAGTAGGAGCATACTGAGGATAGCTCCCAAAGTGCTCCTTTCCACCTGGTTTCTCTATAGACTCTGCAGGCACTTGGGGTAACTGGGTTCAACAGAATGTCCCAGAGAGGAGTGGAAAACTAATGAGCTCAGGACAAAGTGTATCTACTGCCCTGGTGGGGTGTGTCCTTCACTCTCCTTGTCCTGTCCTTTGTTGTCATATTTGTTGCATATTTTCTTAAATTAAATGTGCAACTGAAATCATAAGTTTGTGTCCTGTTGACCTCTGGCAAAGCCTTATTTGCACAGCACTCAGTATAACAGGAGCTCACCTGATTGGGTCCCACAGGCTTTACTTTCATACAAATAATTATTGATGCCATTAGGATAAATGAACTTTTAGGCATCTGAGAAAATTATTTCCAAAGAAAGAAAGAAAAATTGAAAGCAAGTACCATGATACTAAGCTTCTTTGACAAGGATATGCAAGGAAAAAGAAAATGTCATTGAGGGTGGGGAAAAGAAAAAACGAAGAGTAAAATACAAAAAATCACTTTCAAAGAGGGAGAGATATGAGTGAAGTTTAAAATTTAGTGGTCACAGAAGAAGGAACACCACAATGTGTCACATTAATAAGCATTGTAAGTAGGAATGTTGATTAACTCAGGAATGACTTATTATAATATAAATGACAGGCCCGAATGGAACTGAAGTGACAAAGTATGAAATGTGTATTAGAGAAAGCAAAATGAAAGCTAAATTCCTGTGGGACAAGTAAACATTTAGAAAAAAATTTACAGGTTTGTTAAAAACTGGTAACTTAGAGGGGACAAGGAAATGAAACAGAATCTGGGCACAAAAAAAGGTGGTTGGTATGTTGTAGCTGAGTCTTCAAAAAAAAAGTACAAAAAAAATACTATTAAAATAGAGGGGGAAATAACATGGAAGAATTTATATATAAACTGAAGGAAGACAGAAGAAAAATTATTTTTTTCTGTACATAACCCCACTGGCAAATGGCAGTGCACTGGTAATGACTGCCCCTCCATAAGCCTAAAATCATATCAGCATGCTTTCAAAGGACTCATCCTAAAGACTAAGAAAATACATACCTCATCCTACCACAAGCAAAAAAAGAAAATAGGCAATTTTATCCAAATGTGCTTAAGGACATATAATTCAATAGATGTTTATAAAAAGGTTACTATAAATACTCTCTGTGACATAGAAGTCTTCATATACCAAAATAATCATGACTGCAAAATGTGTTCTAATATGAAATTACCACCTGCATTAAGCAAGTAAAATGAGTTTAAGTGGAAACATATTGCTTTCCTGTTTTGGTAAAATTACTGGTTTGAATTAAATTACAAAATACCCAGAAGTTTTGATTCCTTCACCTTTAAATTTCTGCAAATATAAATTGACCAGATCACAACTGCAATGATAGCTTCAAAGATATCAAGAAACCTTACCAATACCAGTGCATTTGCATGCTTACCACAAAACAAAGTTGATGCAGAGAATATATACAGCATTACAAGATATGCTATGCCTCATGAAATGAGCACAAATGAAGTGGGACAGGGAGAAGAAAATGATGAAATGGTGGAACTGAGGAGATGCATTCAGACAGAAGAGTGACTGCAAATGAAGCTGCAAACCTAGGGCTCAGCAGCGTGAAATGAATGTTTAGGTTAAATTATTTTGTTGGCAGTACCCTGAAAACTAAGAGCAGACATTTTGAATCTGGCATATTCAAGACTTTTGTTATAAAAGCTGGATATCATTGACGTCGTCGATAAAGAAATGCATAGAGGGAAATAAAGAAGAAAGCATGCTTTTAATATCAGGGAGGAAAGGTAATAACATAACAGAACCAATGAGAAAGTAATTCTATATTAGATATAGTATTATTATTATTATTATTATTGTTTTAGCCTTATGCTTTTGAACTATGTATGGTAGGTACTTGAAATGCTTGCTTTAAATACCATGTTATGTGAGCAGAGTACAAAATGCCTAGACGGACACTTGTGACATATGGCTCACCACTTCTAGTCAGTGAAAATCTGAAGACTTCTGTACTGATTCAATTTTGTAAGTATTTTTAGTAAAATTAGAGACTTGGTTAGAACACTCTGATGCATTCTGATATTAATAAAATGCTGCCATCACTAACCTGGCAGTCAAGTGAAATTTTTGAGAGCAAGCACATCATTTATACAGTCAATGTAAACCACTCCTAGTGTGGTACTAAAACATGACATACAAAAAGTGATCAGTATAGTGTATTATAAAAGTGTGTTACCTCTACAGCAGTTCTTGTCCCAGCTAAGTAATTGGTTTTTTAAGAAGCATGATTAGGACAAAAGAAAAAAAATTAAGAACAATGGAGATGATTCAGAAATGAGAGACAGAGCAAGTCAGAAAGGAGATAGCAGCTCAAAAGAGAGACCATGAAAATCCTGATCTATGACTAATCAGGGAAAACATAAAGACAGCAAAAAAAAAAAATTAAAACCAATTTTTGAAATTGTCAGTACCTGGCAATTCAGAGAAGTCTTTCAGCTGACAATAGAGTCCTCCATAAAGCCTGTAAGAAGTTTGTTTAATGCCAAGGGTGTTGAGGGTAAAAAGGACCAAAATAATCTAAAATTAGAGATAGCAAAAGTAGGATTAAAGATTTATATGAGGGAAATTGTACAAGCTATATGAAAAAGTATAGGAAAAAAATATCCAAAGTCAGAAGAATTTTAAATATTCCACACAGCAAGTGCACAAAAGTTATAGGCACTTGGCCTGTGCTTGAGGGAACTAGAATTTCCACCAAAAACCTCAACAAAGCATTCAAGTATTATGTTTGGAGGATGAATTAATTTCAAAAATACATAGCAATTTGCAAAAGATTTCTGCTGTTGTCATAAGCAAATGTGTGGGATCTAAGCAGAAGGAAAAAAATAAAGTGTGTTCTTGTTTTTTGTTAGTGTCCCAAGGCAGGAGGAATTCTTAATTAGTCCAGAAAGTTGACATGATACTGAAATTAGAAGATGAATGGTGAAAGGTTAATGAAAGTTTAATAAAGGCAAGTAGACACACAGACAACTCATGAATGGTATCTCAGAGTGGAACTATTCTGTAGCTGATAATCAATGATTCATATATCCTATAAACAAAGTGGGGCATTCTGCTAAGTAAGTAGGCCTCTGGGTATATAACAAAAGAGAAGTTTTAAATTTTAATTAATAGAAGGAGTATTTGCCTGACAATGAGAGGTACCTTTCACAGTGAGCTCAATGGTAAATTAGGACTAAAAATGAGAATAAAACCTGAGGTTGTGTTCCAAGGATTCATATAGCAAACTTCAATTAACATTAACAAGATATATTTCATTACATCAAAATGAAGTTTTAAGAGGTGAATTTTAAATCCTGACAAAGACTTCTGCAATGGGACAAACTAGGATTGTAAGGAATAATCAGTTTGAGTAATTAAGGTGTTAAACTTGTAAGGGATGAGCTCTCAGGAAGATTCAACTCTCCTTTTTTGTATGGCCACACAGAAAACTGGTGAATTTCACACACACACACACCCCTCTCCCTAAGCAAAATACCTTCATAAACTTAGAATATGTCCACACAGAATATAATTGTTGGAAAAATATCTATCCTCTTCATGTTCTCTAGGTTGACATTTTACTCAGAATCCACATTCATACAGCTGAACTGATTTCCTCACTGAAGCCAGTGGGTAATTTTCTATTTGTTTGAACAGAAGAGAGACATTTATGTAGTCTGTGATATCAGAAGAGAGACAAGATATATTTTCCCTATCAATATCTTTCTTGAATCACTTATACCTTACCTGTTTGCCCTGAAGAATTCTGTTCTCAGAAGTCCTTCATGCATCACTTTCTCTTTTCTGTACATGTAACATTCTTTCCTTCCTTAGAATTTTCTCTATCTGCTTGTGTCCCCTCTGACCTCCAAACCTTTTAACTCATCCTTCCTCCTGAAAGGGAGACAATCTTTTCTTCCTCTTCAAATACTTTTGCTTGGTCCTAAAAAGTCATCACAAATCCCAGCTTCACTCATATTATACTCCCTTCCTCCTATTCAGCATTTCTGGCTTTCATTTTAATACTTCTGCCTCTGTGTGCCATGTCCCTGAAGTCCTGCGAAATCGACTCTAACCTCTTCCCGTGCCGTCCCACTCCATCCCCATCCACCCACTTCTGCAACTTTGCCTGCCAGGACTCTGAAGCTTTTCCTCTCTCCTCTTTGGAAAGTCTTTCTCTCTCTTCATGCTTCCTGGTCCCACTGCTCCTCTCTCAGTGACCTCCTGCTTGCAGTTGCTCCCCGTCAGATCTGCCTCACTGACACCTGACAAGGTGCCTCAGCTGCCCCTCTGCTTGCCTCAGTTTCCCCACTGCCAGCAGGTGCTTCTCCTGTGCAGTTTATCACTGCTTCCTCTCTCTGGGACTCCCAGGAGCTGGCATGCATCACCAAGAACAGGTTTTTCTGCATGCTGGCATTTTTCTGCTCCTCAGCAACTCCAAACCCTACCTCCTAGGCAAGGCTACTCTCATTCTACACTGTGGTAGGAAAACCCCATTTTTCATGGGGTGAGAGTTAAGGATTTCACAGTAAAATATGAAACTTTAGAGGGTAAAAAAGTGACTCAGCCATGCAGATAGTAAAAAAAAATACATGTTTTACTAAACTATTCTTTCTCTTATACTGTATGTTTGGAAAGAACAGAAAAGTGGTTGATAACTTATATAACAATATAACAAAGTTACAACTTTATAATTGAAGTTATAAAGTTATAATTTATAAAAGTTAAAATATAACTTTTATAACAACATAACAATGATACTTCATTGTCTTTGGAATATTTGAAGGTCTACATATATTTGATTATAAGACAGAACATTTTTTCTAATTTGTAATAGGATAGAGCAAAAGATTTCTTTCTGTTCCGAGGAGTTTTAAAAGTTACTCCAATTTGTTGATTAATCAGTTAAATTAAAAGGTTGACTTATTTAAGTAACTTCACTATAATGTAAAATGTCTTTTTGAAAGACAATCCACTGAACTTAGCCACAGTGGGAGGTCTCCAGCCCTGTTACAGCAGTGATTTCTGTGTACTTCTTCCCAACTGGAGCACTTATGAAACTAAACCTCCTTCCCAAAATAGTTCAGATGGTTCACCTCTTTCAGTAAGTTGCTCCCTGTTTTGCCAGCTGCCTGGGCACGATAGGCCTAGATACTTTACGCTTGCCAGACATATTTCTGTCTTCTGTTTGCACAGACTTTGCAAATCTTTGTTTTGACATTTGTTAAGGATTTGTTTTATTAAATGAACTGTTTGTATCTTTATTCTCTCATAGTTTCTCCTGCCTTTATCCTGCTTAATGTGACAATACAGGGGACTTTTTCTGTCTTCTAAGGACATGTAATACTTCAGCAGCCATATGGTAAGACTTACATCTTGTTCTGAGTTTTCTTCTGGTTCCTTTTTTCACTGAAACTTTGGGGAATTTTACTGGGAGTCGTCATAACTAGTTTTCAGCATTTCCTTGGCAACTCTGTCTTGCCTGCTGCTTTCCCAGGTTTAACTAGATGATAAAATATCTAGTTCTGAGCATCATATTTCTCTGGCAAGGTCAATAATTTCTTAAGTGAGGTTCCATTTAACATTTCTAAAAGTACTCTGTCCATCTATGCCTTGATTCTTTTTCCGTTTTAAAAAATTTGAATGTTAATGCTTACAAAAAAATTAATAGTGAGATATATGTTCCCAAGTTGGAATGATTGTTTCTTGATTAAATATTCAAAATCTAAACATGGAAGTTACCCTTTTTCTTATTTGTCATGTTCTGAAGCTAACCTACATTTTCTTTCATCACACTCAAATCCTCCACAAGTTGTTAAAACATTTGTGAAAACTACATGTTGTTCATAAGAAATGACGAAATTTTTGTTCCTGGAGTGTGGCAGCAGCTCTCTGGCCGCAGAAAGCAACATGCAACTTTCCCAGGCATTGTCCTGGGAAGGCTGTGAGAAGATCAGAGAAAAAAATGATAAACAATTCTTGTCTTAGCTTGCTGCACCTGTTGTTGTGAACATGTGGAATGTGTTATGGAGATCTGTTTAGAAAAGGGTGATTTCTTAATTGTCCAGTGGTGATTGTATTTGGAATCAAAGACCAATTAGGTCAAACTGTATCAGACTGTCTGTAAGGGCGATGGGTTTCTTAATAAGTATAGTATAATAAAGTGATTGATCAGCCTTCTGAGAATCATGGAGTCAATGCTGATCATTACCCAGCTGGGGGTGGGCCTGTGGTGACAATGGAACAATCAAGAAACCTACTCCTTTTTACTGTATAATAGTAATCATACTATATAATAGTAATCACTGTCATTTATTGTTGGATACCTAGACAAATATGTAAAAATGTGGTTCAGATCATGGTTGCTATCTGCATGACACTAAAATTTAATTTTGAGAAAATTAACTTTGCTTGCCTGTGTACATGAAGAAAGGCCAATTTTCAGTGCAGTCAGCACTATCAGTATAAAACTTATTATGGGTAATAACATTATTGTAAAAAAGATTCTTAAAAAATAAAGATGATGTAATACTTGTGTACACCACAGAATAAAACATGCTTTAAATGAAGTAAGCTAATTTTATTGATGGTGTCAAAGAAATGTAAGTCTTTCTTGATGAAAAATCTAAATTGAGCCCAGGCAATGGTCAGCAGTACATCCTGAAATTTATGGAAATTTAGTACATAATACAAAAATCTGTGCTACTTTTTATAGGCATTTGAATGCACCAAACTAGATCCCTCAACAGAGTATATGTATAAATCATAACTATTAAGTTGCTTTTAATAAAATGTAACCAGTGATCTATGTCAGCATTGTAAAATACAGAAATATAGATATAAACCTAAGACTGTTTCTAAGTTGTGTTATCACGTCTTCTTCTCATCTGCATATGTCTACAAAGGACTGCTCCAAGTTTGATTTACACTTTTTTCCTGTTTCTTGGCCTAAGACAGATCCTTAATGTTACTTAAGCTCATTTTTGTATTTAGTGAATCTAATTAACATGGTAAACATGATCTGAAGGACTGTAACTATACACACAAATGATGACTTATAGTACTTGGAATGTAAAAGCTCCTGACAGCTGCATATATGACAGCTAGCATATATACTAGCTCAGGTTAGACTGGACATTCAGCAAAAAGTGCAAAATCTGGTCTATAGTAATTTCTTTACCTGTATAATGACAATGTACTGCGTTGATCACATACCAGGCTAAAATACAATTTGTTCTTCACTGGAGACAAAACTCATGGAAGAAAATAATCTTTTAGGTACAGATATGTTGTTCAAAAAGAAACCCCAGACATCTCACTGGTATAGTTCAATTAAAGCATATTTGCCTTTACAAAGACAATATCTACTGTGTTCTAGTAGAAAAATGAATGCCAGCTAACAATCTAAAAGCAATAAACTTAAATTATAGTAAAAGTCAATTAGTACACCAATTAGTCTACATTGCAAGGAACTTACAT